CCTTGAAGCATCTCGTCGTCTGCCTCACCTGGGTCCGTGGAACCGAGTGGATCGGACCCAAGTTCGGCCGGCAGGACCGTGGGAGAAGGGGAGGACCATACCCGGCGCAATCTAAAACGATCCAGAAGGCAATCTAAAACGATCCAGAAGGTATCTGTTCGCCAAAAGGTATCTAAAATACAATTGTTCACCATCTTTGGATCTGCTTCGCCACTTTCAGCCCCAAAACCCTCAAACCGTGAGTCAACCCATCCCGCCTTTGGAAAGAACGAAGAACTCCTCAAACAGCGAGTCTTCTCCGAGGTACTTCTCCTTGGGCGGAGAGAACAGCTCAGCGCTCCGCTCCGTCTCTCTCCGTCGCGGTGGTCGACCGGGCGCGTGGCCGGATGGTTCTTGCGGTCCTGGCGGGATGGTTCTTGAGGCACTGGAGCGGCAGGCGTTCGAAACGACATGGAGCAGGAGGAGTTTCCATGAAGTTTTTAGGAGGTCTTAATCCAACAAACTGGATTTATTCGTACCAGTTGATCCACTTCTATGGCCACAAGCTCATGCAGTCCAGTGCGGACGGCCTCGTATCTCTCGTTCAGGACTTTTCTCAGATCCTCACCTGCTTGTCGCACTTGAGGGGAAAAGAGCCCCTCCTTGCGAATGCCAAGGATCTCCAAACATGCCAGAAAATAGAACGTTGACTGCTGATTCATAGAAATCTGGCTGTGAAACATCTTATATGATTTTATATGTGTTCTTTTATCAAAGGTCAACATATGTCAACACTATTGTGCATATGTCCAGTCCTTGTTGATGCTGTCGATTGTATTGCACACAATGCTGCCAGCCTCAACTGCGGACGTTGCTCAAAAGAAATCCTGGACCCAATCAACTTGCGGCCGTGCATTTTCGCCGTTGCCGTACAACATGTCCGCATTCGTCTGCACCTGAGACTCGCAATTGGCTTCCATAGAAAATGGAACATCATTGAACAAGACATGCCAACAGCTTCAAAGAAGGTAAAGCCTCACCATATCTGACAAAGTTTATACCCACAGGTGCATTCTTGGGAAAGTGCGCCACGAATCCTGCTGACAATTTTGTCGGGCCAAAAACGTGTCCCTCTGAGATCGGGTCCACATACGTCCAAAGCTTTTCAAAGACATTCTCATCTTGCCTGAATCTGCTGATGAAGAGACTGTTCTCCTCACATCTCAAACGGTGGAGTAATTCGTGTCACCTGGCTTGCTGTGACCTGCCACTTTGGCTCAGTGCCCTATGATGAACCAAATTCAGAACTAGAAGGCACTGGAAAGCTCTGAGCCCACAGCTTTAGCACGCGCTCCATTTCATCGCAGAAGTCCTTGAAGCGACTTCGGATTTCTGGATGAATTTCTGCAGAGGTGGAAGTGTCCCCTTTCCCAGTTGGCTTGCCCAGGTTGTTGGGTTGCTCTGCAGGTTTTTTGGACGTGGTATCTGAGTTCTCCAAATCTTCGCTCGAGGTATGTTCGATACAATCTTTCTTCCCAAGTTCTCCTCTGCTGAGTCTACGAAGATCTGCGTGGCCCGTGCTAGCCTTGGCCAGGCAGTTGCGCAATCAGCTTGCGTCTAATATCCACGCTAGAGGATGGATAAATGACCTGTCCTTGGATTTTCCAAACTAATTCTCTGAGAGGCCTTTCAACGACCTTCGATTGCATTCAATTCTTCTCACTTCTTATCCTCTAGGAGCTTCGCCAATGCCACCCGTCTCAGATTCAGTATGACTTTGATCGACATGTGCACAACTCCTCTAGGGTCACCATTGGAACCTCCAGCGGCCTTTCCGAATTCGTTCGACTTGATGCGTTATGTATTATTGTTGTTGTTATCATTGTTACTATCTTTATTATACTACTAGTTATTACCATATACCATGACGATGTCCTTTTGCCGGTTTGGATGGTATATCACCTGATCTTCGCCATCAAAGACGCTCCACCTCACGACACCACCGTGACGACCTCGCGACAGACCACAGACCACACCGGTCTCACCGCGTCCGTCGACGCTGGTGACGTTTTTGACCGCAGTCGTGAGAGACGGAACATCGACCGCATCCTCTGGCCATTCAGGGTAAGGATGGGCCGAATCCGGTGTTCGAACATGGCCTAAAAACCAAATTCACTCTCCTCAGGTCGCCAGACCTTCCATTCTTTGGCCTCTTGCAGCTGCCTATTCATGCACCGAGTGATTGGACTGGAACTTTGGCAAATTGTGCCGTACATGATTCCAGAACTCCCTGCATTCTTCATTTCTTGCATGTGCAAGTATGGCCGGTTTCATTGATGAATCATGAAAAAAACGTCTGTGCCTATGTCCTCCGTCATTGCAACCCAGGACCCATGACCACAATATTCCACATGTGACAAAAACCTCTTCAAAAGCAAGCGCCAGCAGGGAAGTGGTCAGCGGCAAAAGCACCAGCGGCTGGCGCTTGCTTTATGACAGATGTTTGGTGGCCCTTGTGTTCCTGTGAAATGCCTATGTGAAATGCGCCTGACGTGACAGAGTCATAAAATACGTCATGGTGGCCCACTTGTGCAGAGGGCACCGGCAGAAATGGCACAATGGCTGACAGCGCTCGTCGAAAACCTCTTGCTTGAAGAGAAGCATACACCACGTGACAGACACAAAGGATTGTAGGAAAAAAAAACTGATAGCATCAAAGTTCAATTCATTTTGAACCTGGTGTGCTGTTAATTTGTTCTTCTACCTCAGCTTGGACTGAAGGACATTGATTGAAGGGGATGGCCAAATGTTCTCTTCCAAAACGTGTTTTTTCTGCGCAATAACAACACACCCAGAAGAGGCTCCGGCGCTTTTTTGTTGGCAAAGAAGTCTGCAGAGGCCTTGTCAAAGATCTTTCCAGATTCCGTGCTCTTGCGCTCCTGAACAAGCACGTCTTGAGCTGTATCTTCTTGGATTGAGAGTAGAAGGCACAGACCCCAAGAGGTGGTTTACATGGACCCCCATCTAAAGGACATGTAGGGGGTTGTGCCATCTACTCTGAAACCACTGTACAGGAATTCCAGATCCAAAGGACATATCATCACAGCAGACATGCCAACACCCTCAGACCATTCTGTCATGTCACAACTCTCTGCTCAGTGCTCGTGCTGATTACTTTGCAGTCAGCACGGAATTGCCCTCTCAGTTACTGTCCAAAGGACATATCATCACAGCAGACATGCCAACACCCTCAGACCATTCTGTCATGTCACAACTCTCTGGTCAGTGCTCGTGCTGATTACTTTGCAGTCAGCACGGAATTGCCCTCTCAGTTACTGTCCAAAGGACATATCATTACAGCAGACAGGCCAACACCCTCAGACTATTCTGTCATTTCACCACACTCTGCCCAGTGCACAGTTTCAATAAGAAATTGCCATGCCTTGGTGCCCATGGTCTTCTTGCCACTTACAGCTGTTCCAACAACTCCCCCAAGTGCTTGGTCCTGAGCAACGTGTTCCCGAGCCACGAAACGGGACGAAGGGTTCAAAGCTGGAGACTTCGCCCACACGGGATTTCAGAAGGAGACCGAGTTGTGATCCAAAATCTGCATGATGTCGAAACGCGACACCAAATATTTGGAAGAAACTCAGGTCGTGACCAAATTCTTGTCTTGCTCTGTGAACACGAACTGATTCGCCTTGAGCCTGCAAACCGCAAAGCAGCTTCATGATCCATGTTTTTATTGACAGTCAGCCGCTCACCCAACAGACCAAGAGCAGAACCACCAAGTATGAAGAACCACTGGTTCTTGCTACGAAAAAGCAGCGCTTCGTGCTGGTGCAGATCTCACGTGTCATCTCGGCCCCGTGCCCCATGAGCACGATGACCTCCCCAAACAAGCTGGGCCTGAGAGACCATGTTTGGTGTTTTGCCATACAAAGAAAGGGTTGGGTGACATCAAAAGTGTCATAGAGAAATAGAAGCTTCATATGTTTCCAGATGTTTTGATTGGTGCCCTCTTTAAATTTTTGGTTGCGGCACATTCACAAGTGTTTCCGCACCATCGCAGCATCAACGGTTGCGACACAGCTGGCGAATGAACAAACTCAAGCCATCAAAGACCTGTACAAGAAAGGTTGACATTTATTAGTCTGAATCCTTTAGCAAACGATGGTTGTGTGGTAAAGACCTCTGAATTAATGGTTGTTGGAATTTCAGGGATTTGTAGAACCTCACCTTTCCAAAATCCCAGAATGATCCCAGTCCACAGAGCCATTGTGAACTTAGAATGCGCATTCGATGCTTGGTAACTTAGGAGTCATTCAGGTGATGAACATTGATTATATAGAGAATATGCTTTACTTTGGGATCGGTGTTCTTTCCAGACCAGACTATCTATCCACCACTGGCCCTGAGTGCTGCCACACATAGATCCGGAAGGCGTCGCCATGTCGTTCACGCATGTTCAGCAGCACGGAGTCAAACCTCAGTCGTTCGGTCGTTCGGTCCAGTCCACGTCGGCGAAGTCCACCGAACGGGTGCTTTCTTTATGGTCGGGAGAACTGGTTTGGATCAGAACTGGTCGTTGAAGTATCCACGTCACCCTTTCTCACTTTCTTCATTGTGCCGACCAAAAACCACAGCTCCGATCCTCCATGTGCCGCTTTGATCCTCCGAAGCATGTGAAGGCCTCTTCGGCCGCTCAGTGCGTCTTTTTTCGAAGCACCTCGGAGCCCACGAGCCGCGCTACCTCTTTAGCGCTCCGGAGGCGCCAGCGCACGAAACCGAAAGAAGCGCAGCGTGGAAGAAACGAGGCACGGCAGAAAGCATCGAATCTAAAGAAGCAATTTCGGGTCTTTCATTTGGTCGCTGGAGCGGGTTTGCGCGTCACAGCAAACGGATCGCTGCTCCAGCGCTGTCCAGTCTTTTTTCGAGCCCGAGCCCCGGAAGACTCGCCACTCCGGCCGAAGCCGTCCCTCCAGCCGTCCGGCAGGACCGTGTGTTCTCAACCGACCTCCTCACTTGAAAGCCAAGTTTTCGCACACCAAATCCTCCAGCTGGCCAAGTCCCTGCAAGGGAGTGGCTTCGGGCGTGACGTAGCGCGCCACGAAATGACTGAAGCTCTGGGCTTGCTCGATCTTCAAGGAGAAGCAACCTCAAAAGTTCGGCCATGGCGTGGACCGATCCCTGATGGGAATCTATCCAAGAGAGGTATGTTGTCAAAAAAGGCCATGTTGTCAAAGGGAATAAGGTTTCCCTGTAAGTCATCATGAACTCTAGTCTATATTGAAGGCGGACATTGAAAGCAAGTTTTCAGGTGGGCCTGGTCTTGCGCGGCAACCAACTGTGTCTCAAACAAAAAATAGATCTCCGTCCGTTGTCCACCGCAGTTGCAAAGGTTTCCCAGTTACACCACCTGCACGGCTGGGCAACGAAAGCAATAGTGGTGAAGGAAATGCAGGAGTCCTCGCGGGTCCGCGCGACGGACGCGACGGGACGGGACGGGACGTCTCATGGAACCCAAACGTCCTCCTTCGAAAAAGGCCTGGAAACTGGGTGCTTCGATTTCGCCAAACTCCGACTCTGCCACCGCTTGACTTCAGTCCTTCTGGATCTGTCCCGCTGCTTCCAAGCATGCCTGTTCAGAAAGTGTAGCAAGACCCGGCGTGAACCCTTCCCATTGACCCAGCTTCATCGCCCCCTCAAGCAGCAAATCCTTCGGCGTTCCCCAAGGCATGATCGCCACCGGTCACCCGGTCCACGTTCCCGGTCGACCGGGGGGGGGTCGCCTGGGTGGAACTCCATCACCAAGAAGCGGATGCGCCCTGGCGACTGCTTCGCAGTTCGGTCAAGCGGCGGGTAGCAGGCACGCTACTTCCACAAGCCGGTAGCATTCGGTCACCCACTGGCAAATGGAAAAATGAAAAGGTAGACGAAAACCTCACATAGATGGTGAGCCGCCTCTCAGTGATGGTGGAGATTCGTCGAAAATGCTTTCTCCCAGAGATGATACTGCAATACCCTTCATTGGCAGTCTTCCAAGTTCTGGCATACCCGGCCAGCCACTGGGAACATGTCAATGAATGGGCCCCTCCTGGCCAGGTTGCTGGTTTGTTTTCCATAGAATAAGTTGGTTTCCAGGATTCCATGGGTACCCAAATTCTCCAAGACAACCTGTCTCTCTCCCTCGACGGTACCACTTCAACTTACTGGAATCGGAAAACAGCCCATGGAAGACCTGTTTCTTTTACAAAGATACTTTAAACAATAAACAAGTCCGGGCGATGCTACCAACCCTACTCCCACCGCTTTGAAGAAAAGAGACCCTTCCATTCGGAGGTCTGTGGCTTCCATGTCCGTCCCGACACAGCGCCTGACGCGAGCAAGCCTTCGGCACCACGCAAGGCGCCCATCTCATAGCCTGCGTTGGGATTGGCCAAGGCGCAAAAGGAAAGCAATTTGTAACCAGAATCCAAACGCTTGGAAGGTTCTGTCCTCACCTTCCACATCAAGCTTCAGTAGCTCGACATGATCAAAAGGCAAGTATGTATAGATAATCTCATCCAGTGTTGTCATGGCAATTTCTTCCTGGTCAGCTCAAGGAGTTCCAAGTTATTTGTCCCTTTTGACCTATGAATGACCTATGAGCTTGGTATGTTCGCCGAAAAATGCTTTCCATAGGCCAAAACACACATGCACACACAACAAATCTAGAAGTACTGAATACTGCTGTTAACAAAGCCCGTGTCGCGCATCTCTCTTCTTTCCTGCCCAAGATTCGACTTCCATATTTGGAGGTCCAGTGAGGTATCCCTGATCTGAGATGCTGCTATAGTCATATCTGGTAGTCATATTCAACGAACGCACCTCAGCACTTTGCCAGTCCACACCATGAAGACCCTAATACTTCTTTCTTCCAAGTAGATTGCCAAGAAGATTGCGTCCAGGCAGCACGTTCCCCAAGAGCGGCAGCCATGATGTAGCTGTGACCACTGCTGCGACTGGGAAAGAACCAAAACAGATCATACAAATCCACTGCAAATGACTACAACTCTATACTGCTTCTGGAGTCATCACTCCCTGCACAAACAAGTGTTTCTGGCCTGCCTTGTGCGCCGAAATATGGTTGTCCAGTCTTCACGTGGTACCTTTCTGACGGACCACCTCCGGCCAAAAATGGCATTTTTTTGTGATCGACGACCTCTCCAAAGTAAATAATGACAGCCCAAAAAGAAGAACTCTTTTTCCAAACGAAGACACTGACTCTCCAGGCTCAATCTGTAGAAACGTATGAGCTTCTTCTCCTCGTCCATGCTGACGCTGCTCCCCCAGCCGCACGGGCAAGCGATCGCTGATGAGCTTCCGATTCTCGGCCAAGGGCTCGAAGCCCAGCACGGTGGCTCCCGCCAGGATGCCCATCAAGGACCAATCCGTTCCATCAAAGACACCTCTGGAGCGTCACTTCCTTCCTTCTACTGAAACGTAACGAACGTGTGAAGAGCGAGCCCAGAGTCGTCAACTCTACGGTGAGGTCAGGAGTCAACACCTGGGTGGGGTGGTTCCCAAAAAGGGTATTGGACTGGTTTTTCGGTGGATTCGTCATGGCGAGTCCGGTGTTTTTTGGTGTGTCATGGTGGGAGACTGTCTGGAGGCCCAACTGGAGACTGTCTGGATGGGAACATCCCATTATTATCTGAAAAGCACCATTGGTTTTTCCAGCCCCGGCACATTCTGTGCCTTGTCTGTGGTCAACCAGGATGCCCAAATGTTGAACCCACGGCTGGAGGAAAAAGTCTTCATCCCCGAGCCACGGCCTGCGTCGATCAAAAGCGAGCCAGGCTTCAGGTTCCGCGCGAGCCTCAAGACCTCGCCACTGGTGTGGATGTGGAGTCTTCGTGATTTGAAAATTGGATCAAACCCACTGCTGCAAGGATGAATGGATGCAAAGCGTTCTATATCTACATTAAACTTGTGGGTCCTAGGTTTTTGTTAGTCTTAGTTTTGAGCCATTGCCACGTCAAAGCTGAGGCACGGGCGGAGTTGTTGGCAAAATCATCCACAGGCGAAGGACCTGTTCAAAGACTGAAGTTCGACTATATGAAAGAACTCGGTTAAGTGCTTGAATGCAGAATCAATGCTCAAAATGGTGAATGATTCCAAGTTGGATTACCTTCCACGCCGGGCTGAATCAGTCATAGAATCATGGACGTTCCAACCAACTTGGAAGCTTTTGTCTGTTTGTCCGATTCGAAGGGGTTGCTCAAGAGATGCACCGAGACTCATGGAAGACTCACTCCGGTGACCGGCCTTGCGACCAACCCCAGGCAGCACCAAGGTTGCCCAAAGTCTCGCCCTTTCGAAATGGATGCCTGGACTGAAAGAGACCCTAATATGAGTGAAAGGAGCTTCTTGTTATATACTTCAGGACTCATTGATTCGCCATATCTGAAAATGGTTGAGTGTGTTGAAATGAGTTGAAGCTTTGGGGCTTCGGGGAATCTTTCCCGGCAAGTCTTGGGGAGGTTTTCGAGTGCCTCGACCAAGGTCGGTGGGGATGACATGGACCCTGGAGCTTTGAAAGCGAGGAAAGGATCAACCGCGGCGAGCAGCCAAGGTAGGTTGAATGAGCGAACTTTGGAGAGAAAAGAAGGGGAGTGGAAAATAGACATTGAGCCAACAAGAACGCAGAAAATAGAGCTTGAGCGCGAAAAAGGTTTGGAAAAAGTAGAGAAGAAGGCGAAAGAAAAGCCTTGCAGAGAAAAGGAGCGCAAAGGCTAGAACAGGGGACCAAGAGGGTACAAAAAACAAAAAGGAGTGCAGGAATGACTCCATATATGGGCCGAAATTAGACGAATTGTTAGGGGACGTAGAAAAGAGTGTACAAGAAATGTGTTGCAAAAAGAGCCCAGAGAGTAGAGTAAACAGAGCAAAATCAGGCAAGAGCAAAGAGTGAAGTAGAGGGGGCAAACTGGAGCGACAGGCAGTGAGAATGAGGCTGAGCAACTTTAGCCTAGGAAAAGACTCTATTCAATGAGCGAGGAAGTAGAGAACAGAACAGCTCAGATGAAAAAATCTCGCTTAGGATGAAGCTTCGTCCCGTTTGGTGTCTTCTTGAAATGTGTTATTCACCTGGAGGAGCGCTTGGTTTTTCTGGACTCAAACATGGAGCTCGCTCATGTACGCAAACATGTCAAAAGCGCACACGCAAACGTCTCTGTTGAACTCAGCGACAGAACGGGCGGCAAGGGCTTCGGACAATTGCCCGGCGGAAGCCGCCAAGGATCGGTCAAGAGCGGCGCAGCATGCTGACCGCCTTGCCAGACGAGCCTTGGTACCGGCGCGAGCGACTTCCAAACGAATACAGATCAACAGAGTATCATCTTCAGGAATGTTACATGGCTTGGGTTTTTGGGGGGGCACAAGGTCACCCTCTCTTTGGTTTGGGGATCTGAAACCCTGTCACACAAACAGCCAATTCTCAAACCTTCGGCAGAGGGCACTTCTCCAAATGAGGGAACCTCCATTCCACACCCACTCATAGATTAGGGGAAAAGGTTATAATTATATATATATATACACATGCATATAACATATGTCAGGTTTGTGACACCCGCAGCAGATTACCCAACAATCCACCCGTGCCCTGTTAGAAAGCATCAATGAACCACCCCTAGACCAAATGATGGCTCTAAATGCATCCCCTTTTTTTGCACAGCTAGCCATCCAAATTCCCCCGTTGGACGAAGAAGCTGTAGCTGCCCCAAAAGCCCGAAGAAGGGCCAGGACGATTGCCCCGAGCGCAGCGCCAGAGGATTGAGCTCGCGTGCCGCACGGCTGGCCAGATCCAAGAGTGAGGCCTCGGCGCTCCCTCGTGACAGACCGACGTGCCCAAAAAGAACCGATCCCTATAAGGGAAGGGGATGCAACAGGATGATGGTGGTTCAAGGGAATGCATCATGCACCAAAAAGCTCCGGGCCATGAAGGGTTCAGAGGAAACCTGGTTGTTGGTTGATCATGAAGTTGCGGCCTTCAACCAAAACCAGGTCATTAGGTTCTCAGGCCACCAGGCTTTCTCCTTGACTTTGTAGTCGCCAATGTGCAAAACTCATTCTGGAGCATTCTGGCAGAGCGGCACGACGCTCTTCCATCACCAAGGACAAATACAGAACCATAGACAGCAGCCCTTCCACGCAGTCACGGTAGTTGGCTTTGAACCACTCCTGAGTCAAAGCAATGCATCGGAGCATATGATTAAAGGCTTGATTCTTGCCTTGACCCCTTACTCGAAGTAAAAAGACTGTCATCAGTTCATGAGTCCATTTTGTGCAGCTAAGGTGCAAAAATCTCATACTGTGTCAGCTCAAACATCGCAGGACTGAAGTCTCGCAAGAACTCCTCCGGGTGGCAAGACTGATCGATCAAGACCCAGACCTGTGACTTAGACTTCTGACAAGGTTTCAACAAAAATGCGACAGGATGCAGGATGCTAATACTAAAGGTTAGTGGTGCACCACCAGCCGCGGCTGATTTGTGCCAGTCCTTTTGAAAAGACTGTGTTGAAGGCGACACCCTGTCCCATGCACGAGGCTTGCGCTGTCCTCATTGCGCGAGGCTTCCAACAAGGATCCATGGAGCCTTTCCCAGCGCTCGCCTTGGCAACTACGGCCCGCCACGCGCAGTGGCCTCGGCTCGCGGCAGAAAAAAGAAGGAAGGCAGTGCAAATGCTGATACATTTCCTTACAAGGAAACAAGAAGAGAAAGGAAATCAAATGTATAGTCTCTATTGTCTTTAGTTCGTGTTCCTTCACCAACTGGGTTCGAGGATACCCACCCACCTTCGGCACCCTGCACTGCCTTGTTCGGCAAAGAGAAAGTATATAAAGAACCCATGAACTGCTTCAAATCAGATCGGTGTCCCCCATCTTCATGTCTGGTTTCACAGCAAAAGGGGTGGGAAAACAGGACGTTTCTCGCCATCCACGAACCCTCCGGCCTCGCTGAGAGCAGCAAGCCCACCCATGGAAGGCTCCTGTGACGGGGGGGAGGATCCCTGCATCCCTCCAAGCCTCCAAGGGTCTATTTAAGTGACCCCAAAAGAGAACAGTGAATTCCCTCAAAAAGAACAAAAAAACGAAGTACAAAGAGCCCAGAAGTTTTCTGACCTCAAAAATGATTCGAAAGCTGAATTTATACCAAAACATGGGCTCAAAAGCATACAAGCGGAAGAGACCAAGTGCACATCCTTGCCTTCCGAAGAAGGCGGGCATCTCAGAAGGATTCCCATACCATGGGAGCAAGTCTTCATCGGACCCTAATTCTACAGCTTCTCATCGATCTTTAAGCCTTTGGTTTAAAGTTCCAATGATTCGATGAAGAACCGGTGTCGCTGGTCATTGTCAGATTGGTGTCTGAGCTGCTTGTTTGAGTGCCGCTAGTACAAGAGATAAAATGCTAGCTGATAGAAGTAGTGTCTCAATTCGGGGTGCTCAGCAAGCTTGCTGACGACGGACAGGCTCTTTTGCACTGGTCTATCTTCGCTGTAGCAAAGGTCAAAATGTATATGTTGACAAACTTGGCGCATACCTCTGGATGCAACCTTGTGTGGTGAGCCACCTCATAACAGGCATTGATGCAGAACTGACACGACCTCGATTCCCTGGAATGATGTGAGTATGGGCCATTCCGAATGGCGTTCAAGCTGTGTTTCCCAACAAGGAGCCATCAGCAATCAGCAAAGTTCATTATTGTTGGGCCAAGGCCAAGGCACAAAGAAAGAGAGGAGCCCCTAACCATCAGGACGCTACGAACGGGGCTCCTGGCCTTACTACTAGGAGCGACCAGACGCTATGAACGGGGCTCAAAAGCGTGACCCGAACTCAAGTCTTAAGGGCCCCCGACGGCTGCCCACTGAGGACATCCTGCATGACTTGCACCCTCAGGAAGCACCGAATGAATCGTCCACCCGCTCGAGTCGTCCCAGTTGATGGGGCAGGACAACAGCAGTGAACTTAGGAAAATCCTGCAGATCTGATGTCTGACTTTAAATCCCAGAATGGCCCTGCTCACCTGCTCCTTTCGCCTGCAGGCGCGTTTGGTCTCAGGCTAGGACATGTTGGCCCAAGGAGGAAGCTCCTGTGACACGGCCATTTGCCGCAAAAACGGCTGTTCTCCAAGTGAAGGTATGGAAATTTCTTGGTCGTCTAGCTTCCTCTTTGCCCACCTCCAACCAGGCAGAGCGGGTGGTTCCAGTGGAAAGATGTGAAGGGGCTGGTTTGACACTGGCGAAAGCTGGCAAACACTGACAGTGATCGAACCATTCACAAAAATGGTCCCGCACTTTTTAGAGATTGGTCATTTGCAATGGCCGTTTACAACACCCACATGAACGACCTGTTGAACGGTTGGAGTCGGAGCCACTGGTGCGCTCTCCTCCTCCTTGGCTCCATCCGCGCGCTCCTTTGTAGAGGTGGCCTTGTGCGCAGCGGAGGCGCGGTGGCGCGGCGGGCCGGTCCACTCCACTCGCTCGTGTGACATTGACAAGTCATTCACAAGAAACGAGTGTCAAAAGCGAGTGTCTCAATATTCTCTCTCTGTGTCACAACGAGGCCCGGTGTTTGACCCCCCGGTGAAGCAGTTAGTAAAACAAGAATAGAAGAAAAGAACTATTGCTCTCCTTGCTCTCCCTCCCCCCACCCCTCTCTCTCTCTCTCTCTGTGATGGCCAATGGCTGCCTGCCCCAGGTGTTCTTCGCCACCCGCATTCCGACTCTCCCGAGCTCCCGGGCCAAGAAGATCCCACCCGCCACCCTGCGCTGTGCCGGTCGGTGCCGGTCGCGGTACCGCGCAGGTGTCGTTTTCTTTCGGCCAAGGCACAGCAGCACCGCTCCGATCGCTAGAGCGAATGGGAAGCCTGAGGACGGTGGTCGGCAGCGCCGTTTCATGCAGAGCCGTTTCGTGCACTGCAAGGCGGCCTTTTGGGCACGGCCACACAAGGCTTGGAGCTATGCAGCCATGTTATGAAGATAGTGGCAAAAGGTCTTTGGAGCCTCGAAAGTGGCAACTGGTTTGTATAAGTGTGTCACCGGACTCGTCAGCAAGAAGCATCTGGGCACCTTGGAAAAGGCAATGGAGAAGACTGGAAACTAAGAATACTAGTAAAGCACTAAATGAATGGCTGTGGGTCAAAACCTTGGGGCAACCATCAGAGTAATGACAAGAATGGTTCCAACATGAGGATGTGCACAGTGCACAAGGCACTTTGTTGCTTGAAACGAAACACCGGAGGTTGACCTACCCGGATACCCCAACGCCGTCGTTCGGTCCAGTGGGTCGGGTTGTGACTCACCATCCTCCAGGCTGCCGACCTTCCAAACTGCCCTGATCTGCCAGACCTCACGGCAGAGCCGTCGCGAGCGGACACGCGAGCTGGTGCAAGTGCTCAAAAGCCCCAGAAGTGGAGTCTTCAGAATCAAGCTTTGTCCTTCGCAAACGTCACCAGCCCTGAGTCGGACCCTTGGAGTCTTTCCAGTCGTGGAATCGCCGACGGGTCGGTCTCGGAGCACATCACCCCGACCCGCCCGTCTCTCCTCACGCCTCCCAGGGCGCCGAGACCGCCACGGAGACGTCGGCCCTGGACGCCCCACCCGACGACTCGGTCCGGTCATTGGGACGGAAATGTTCGGTCACGAAAAAAAGACCTGCAAAGCGGTCCGGTCAAATGGGTGACTACTGTGTATAATCGATATAGACAGTATATGGCCCTTTTGATGACAAAGCAGTTACAATGACACTTCGTATCCAATCGAATCTCAGGTCGAACTCGGGCGTTCTCCTCAAGCATGTTGAACCTCTTATCTAGTTGAATGTTGATCCTCACGGTCAGCACCTGAGATCTCATCCGTGTTCCGCCCAAAAGATCCCCCGCCGCCCAAAAAAGAAAAGGGGACCATCCAGCCACCCCACCGGGGTCCCGACTCACCTCCCCCCCCCGGTCCTGCCACTTCGCTGCCGGCGCCTCGGTTCGGCGACCGACCTCCGTCCGTCGGTCGTCCGGGTTCGACTGAGGCGGCGGCGGCGCCCGCGAAGGCCGCAGCTCCTGGGTTTCGCGGCTTTGGGAACAAGGAAAGGCCGGGCAAAACAAGTCCATACCGTGGTGGAGAAGAATCAGAAGATCTTCGAAATGGTATGTGCAGGTGGTAACTGCAAAAAGCCCTTGCCTAACCTTCCACCTTGTGTAAGAATGGATCACCCCGGAGATGAAAGGAATGCCAAAGAAACACACTTCCCCCTGTGTGGATGAGCTAGTGGCCACAGCTAGCAAGACAAATCGACATCAAATATGCGGCACGGTGGGGAAACCATCGCCCCCAAATTCGGCAAAATGAGCCGCAAAACACGAAAAAGCCACTCTTTTGGGTGGAGTCCTTCACATCAAAGATCAAAGTTGGTTTCCGGTGACTCCTTTGGCCTCCTTTGGTCACCTATGGCTCAGCGCCCAGGTCACCTATGGCATCGGCTGTGGCATCGGCAGGCGTGCCTGCACCGGTGTCCAAGACGATCTCCATCAAGTCCAAATGCAGCAATTCGTATTCCATCCTTGTGATCGAGCGAAGGCTCAGGAGCATCGAGCCAATGAAGGAGAGTCCTGCGTAGGGTGAATCCATGACGAAGATAAAGGTGTAGACCTGCAAGAAGAGTGAAAGTGGCGCTTCAAACACCTTTTCGGGCAAAGTGATGTAGTAATATCTGTCAGAGAGTTGGCCAGTGGCCATGGAATCCCTGCAAGCTTCCAGAAGATCCCCAACACCAGCACCATAAATTTCTTGCAGGAAGGACCCTAGGAAAATCATCAGTGCACAAGCAGCGAACATCAGGTTGCCCGTCAAGACATAGGCGACGATGCAATTCAAATCAGACAAGACGTCTATGAAAGAGAAGGCCACTTCCATTGTGACCGAGGCTCTCTGCATCGCAGATGGAGGGGCTGAGGCCGTCTCTGACAACTGCAACTCTTCATCTTTCAGGACACGTTCTGCGAATGTGTCGTCCGCGTCACAGCAGAGTTTCTGTGGTATCCAGCAGAGCCACCCAACACCGGCCAACAGGAAAGCCGCGAAGGGAAGGACGAACATGAAGACAAAGCATAAGATCTCTTCTAGGATGACTTCAAAGCTCTTGTCAGCCTGCAAGCTGCACTGTGCCGCCCTGGTATTGCAGCTGGCACTTAGATACCATCCAACCTTCTGAAAGCAAGAGAAATACACCTCTGGATCCACTGCACATTCCTGTTGCAGCCATTTGGGCAATCTCTCGCAGTCAATGTCTGAGCGCGTGCACATCTCTTTCGTTGCCTGTTCAGTCGACTTCTTTGGTCCGTTTGTCAGAACCACGGCGTTGATGGTGAAGAAGACCAAGGTGCGGATCGCATAGCTCACCAGGTAGAAGCCACATCCACCAAACCAGGACTCATCTTTTCCTCCCAATTTGAAGGCGGAAGCCTTCTGCGGCGTCAGCATAGTGATGGGGCGTTTGAAGGGATCCAAAAGGTCGGGTGCTCGCAAGGCAGCCAAGGCATAGTGAAGGGCAAAATACGGGATGATTACATAGGCAGTCGACACCCATGCTAAAAGAAGCACCATCAAGTGCGACAACACATCACAGAAAGTGAAGAGATACACCTGCCACGCTTTGCACTTGCCCATGCGTTCCACTGCCTTCTTGGCAGCAGCGGCATGGCGGCTGATGCGGAACGTCGACATGGCGGGACCGGGGCTTGGGGCACTTGAGCTTTGAAGCAGGCCCAAGCTTTAGCCAGATACGCAAGGGAGACATCCGCACAGGATTTGTAGTGCAACACCGGAAGAGAATTTAGTGCAACACTGCGCCTTTGCATTTAGTGCAGCCACCGAAACATTTGACTCTCCAACTCCAACCGTTCGCACCTTGTGCAGCACCGTTCGCGGGAACGGAGTGTAGACATGAAACCGGCGTTCGTTTTGAAGCCTGTTTGAGCAAACCCCACGAACGCGAATGTGTCGACTTCATCGATTTCGTGTACACGTGAAATCGATTTGGTGTACACGTGAATGGCCATCCAGTCTAGAGTCTAGAGTCCTTCATAAATGGTACAAAGCGCCACCAGGAGCAAGCAGCATGGCAAGATTGAAGGACGCCGAGGCAGCCTGCAGGAACCACTTCACTTAGGTGTCCATTCCAACTCTTTGGTGCTGCAAACAGCCCCGGCCTAAACAGTGTCATGCACGGCAGCTTGCTGCCTTGGGCACCTCATGGCTGTTAGTCTGGAACAAATCATTTTAAGTGAAACAATGGAGCATATCGCATATCACTCAATTCTTCTGTAAGAGAAACAGTGCTGCACGGCTGCACAATCCTAGCAGCATCGACACCGGATCAACATTTTAAGCCGGGCATCTTAAGCTTCGGACGGCAGAGAGGACGGCACACCACGTTCAAAAAATCTGGGAGCCGAAGAACCACAGAGTTTTTTGAGCCAAAGCCACCAGCAAAAGGATGCTTGCAAAACACTAAGAATATCTTAGTCACAAGTCAAAACTTGAAGTTTCTTCTTCAAAGACTAAGACCGTTGTATTCTGCCATCGCTAGTACTATCAAACAATCTGCGGACCGCTTCGCCGGCTTGACTGCGGACTGCAAAGACTACCAACGCGTTGATTTCCGGAGTCACGCCTTTTCACCACATGGCGATAGACTCCCGGCGCCATGTCGAGCACTGCTAACCCCAGCACTGCTAACCCAGTCCAACGCGGCACTTCTGGCTCCAGAGAGCCACACCTCTCAGCCAGGACGGGCACCGCTCAGAACGCCCGCGCTTGGACCGAACGCCGAGCCGCTCAGAACGTCCGCGCGAACGCCCAATGTGTGTGTCAGGACCTCTTGGGCCTCTTCGAGGGCACGAAAAAGCTCCCCAGCGTCGCTTGCGAGGTCCACGGCTGTGTGCCTCGAGTGTCCTCCGATCCGATGAGGACCGGGACCGAGACACTTGCCTGTGGCGCCAAGTCGAGGCCTCGGTCGGAAGTCGAGGCGCAGGGGATGCGCAGGGGATGGACTGAACGTGGATGGGAGTACTCTCAAAGGAAGAAATCGATAAGAACGACCTGAGAAAGGAAGACATCCAAATATTCAGAAAGAGAGAAAAGGGAGATGGAGAAGGAGAAAGGATACCTCCTACTTGGCTCCAGTGGTTTGGAAGATTCCAGATTCAGCTATTTCATGGATTGGTTCATGATGTTCTTCCCTTCCTCGAAGGAGTTCAATCCATTCAACTGGGATCCTGGCTCTCACCTTGAAGAGAATTGCCCGAGGACCTTTTGGTTCCTTTTGGTGGAAAAGCCGTTGCCGTTTGAAAGGGGAGAAGCGATGTCTTCCCAGTACACACCGATTCATTTAAAATAATAGATCCATTGCTGCCATGAGCGCATTGAAACTCAATCACTTCGCATTCCGCCAAATCCGGCGTCTTTGGTTGTGGCTCTGGCTTTTGTGGTTTGACCTCCTGCCGCACCAGCATTCCAAACACAATGGGTCTCCACGCCTTCAAAGACTGCAGAAACCGGCACATGATCTGAATACCTTAGCAAGACAAACACGGCAAACGGTTCTCAGAGCATGATTTGTAGCTTGCAGTCCCTTCATGTGCAAGCCAACTCTCTCCGTTGCAAGGAGGGACCAGTCCGCATCATGAGGAAGGTCAAAACCAAAACCCCAAAAGAACATGACTCCTGCCTTTTAAAAAATACTTCGCCCCTGGGTGCTTCTCATGACTCCTGTCCGACAGTCCCAGCCAGCTCCAAGGAGCTTCGGCGGTGTGTAGAGAATCCCCGTGTGTGGAGCCCGAAACTGCGAGTCGTTCAATCGCATGTCATCTTGCTGAAGGCTCAAGCCACCACCATCATCTCCTTTCTGCACCTACGGTAAAAACATTGAAAAAAATCGAGTCTGTGTGTGGGTGAAAGCAAAGTGACAAGGCTTCTCAAGGCTTCATCATTTCTTGGTTCCTTTCGGCCAAGGGCCAATCTGTTGGGATGTAGCTATTTCTTGAGCGCATGGAGACTGCAGCTTGCGCCTGATGTGCGCCGTGCCACCTTCCAAAGTGGGTGGCGGCGTTCCAGGCCGCCTGGTCCAATGGCCGGTGGGATGGAAGTGGTCTGTCGCTTTCGGAAACAAGAGAACTGCATGTCGCCTCTGTCCCCCTTGTGACTGTTTTAATGAGAATCACATTCTTCCAGGTTTTTACAGGCTCCTTCAGTATCTCTGCACTTCGAGATTCAACGTGCCATCTGGCCAAAACGATGCACACAATCCACTGCAGAAATCTCAATGCCTATGAGATGAATCGAGGACACCACCCAGAGACCAACCGGGGAGAGAGGTTGGAAGAATCCAATCCAACCAAGGCGACTTCGGTGTATAACATGAATTCTGCACCACTTGAGATACCCTACAAGTAACATCAAGTAACCAATCCATTGCGGCCAACGGGGTTCGCGGCGAACCCCCAACAACGCAGCCTGGGGCGTCTGCGCTTCTTCGTCCGCGGTCGCCCCCGCCAGCTGGGACGTCTTCGTGGAAACCAACAGCTTCAACCTCACCGTTCGCCCAAAAAAGAAAGGTCGAGAAAAGTAAACAACAGAAGAACAATATATATATATATATACTTGAGGCCAAGGGGGGGGGCGAAAGCTAGCGCTCCAGAATGGGAAAGTGGAGGGCAGCGAGGTAGGAAAAAACACGGCGCTCTTTTTGGAGGCAATCAAGGAGACGTCGCGGTGGCATCGCAAAGATCCACCTGCAGAGCGGACTGTCGGAAGTCTGCGGGGAGTAGCAGAAGGCAGGACGCCTTGCACAAGTTGGGCGGGGCAAACGATTCCCGGTGAAGAGTCCTTTATATGTGGCTCTTTGCCCGGATCCTCCTGCGAGAGAAGAGAGAGAAGAGAGACGGAAAGACGAGAGACAGAGAGGAGAGAGAGAGAGAGAGGAGAGAGAGAGAGATGAGAGAGAGATGAGAAAGAGATGAGGGAGAGATGAGAGAGATGAGAGAGAGAGAGAGAGACAGTGAGAGTGAGAGTGAGAGTGAAAGTGAGAGTGAGAGTGTGGCCGCAAGATAGGCAACGCTAACCGCATGCCAAAGAGCGACGACAGGACGGAGTCGAACTTGCGAAGAGGGAGGAGGGAGGGAGGAGGGAGGGAGGGAAGGAGGGAGGGAGGGAGGGAGGGAAGGTGGGAGGGAGGGAGGGAGGGAGGGAGGGAAGGTGGGAGGAAGACAACGAGGAGGAGAGGGGAGGTGGGGAGGGGGGGGTGAAAGAGTGACTAGGGCGTACACGGTTGAGGTGCAGACCGCTAGTGTCTTTTATGCGCAGAGTCTTATCCTCTTGAGCCTTATGGCAGTCAAGCATGGACACACTAGATAGGCCACTGGAGTGGAACCTGTACAAGTGGGCCTCTACATTTCAGCAGGCACAAAATTCGCAAGGCTAAAACAGTCCAGCAAGCTCTAGTAAGCTTAAAAAGGAAACCACGGTGCCCTGTACTTACCAATTCCAGTGTATTGCACACTTTAGAAAAGGTAATCTCAAGGTATACTAAATACAGTGAGGGAGCAATAGCTGACTCACCTCAAATACAAAGTCAAAGACAATGTATCTCGGCTGGAGACTGTATCGTTCACCGGCGAAGATACCGTGTACCGGCGCTCAATAGCCCTTAAATAGCCAGAGCTTCAAAGAAACTATAAATTCAAAGGAAAGCGGCTTTCTTACACAGAGACCTGTAAAAGCAGTAAACGACACTCGCGTAACGAAGAACTAAAATTTCAAGACCGCACAAAATGCAATGAATTAAGATGCCTTGCAAAATGCAAGGAGCGTCAACTCTCGGTCCGAGGAATGGTCTTCTCGAAAAGTGGTCTCGGCCGCTTCCATACACAGGACTTACACAAAATTAAACTGCATCAAAAGGACTCTCTCTCATTGACATCAAAAACAAAAAGGAAGGACACACCGGCAAATGTATGTACAAAACTTGCACTACAAATGCAAACTTATGAAATGACTTAATCATCAACCATAAATGGTTGTCCATTAGAGGTCACTTCAAAAGAGCGGCTGTGGTAGTTATCATCAGTTCTGAAAAACTGTCCATACCTACCTGCAGATAATAACCGTTTAGTAAACTGTATTTATCTGCATGCTAAAGCATATAAACCTGGAATGCAGGAGTATCTTCTTTGACAAAAAGTTTCTCCTTGTTGCAAACCAGAATTCATTAAAACTTCAGCCTGGCAACTTAAAGTCAAGCCTGGAAGCAAAGTATCAACTGTGATCAGAAGTATCTTCACTTCCTAGCTATCATTAAAAGTTAGCCTCCGCTCTGAGTTTTATGCCGCTGCAGTCGATGGAGCTGCTTGATCAGAAGTTGGCGGCCTTCCTTTCCTTTTATTCTCTTTCTGTCTCTCCTTCCTCCGCAAGTTAGCATCTCGAAGAGTCTCGCCCGAGCGATAAAGTCTTCTGTCTCCAGATGAAAAGGAAGCTGGTCTGAGTGAAATAAACATTGGACCATGACTGTCTTCGTCAGAGGGTCTGGAGCACATAACCTCCGTGTCAATCAGAGCAAAGTTCTCTGAAAAATTACAGATGAACTCCTTCGTGCTCACTGTGGAATTTGTATATTCCTCTTCACTCATTGAATGACCCCATTCAACAATGGTAGACAAACAAGTATCGCCAAGCTTTGATCCCTGGTATATTTCCTTGTCTTCTGTAGAGTATTCCTCCCAGAGTTTCTCAAAGTAAGCTTCACACTGCTTGAGGACATGTGAAGATGAACTGTAAAATGTTCTGGGAATAGGTGCTTTGATACCAGGATCTGCTTTTACACGGGCTTCTGAAAACCTGCGGATCCAATGCTGCATGGTGCTGTAATAATAGTTAGCCATTGGCTGCCTTTTGTATCCAGACATTCTGTAGGCCAAACTATTTGCATCACCAGAAATGATGTCCACCTCATATACAAAACATTCATAAAGCATCAATGCTGTCTGTTCTCCTGTCAATAGGTGGGCATCTACAGCACGGTGTGTGTCAACATGATAATTACAGACTCTGATAGTATGCATGTTCGCTCGAGTAAGTGGAACACGCTGGTCCTTAGGACCATAGTCCTCAAATTCATAGTCTGCATCCTTGAAGTCCTGACGAGGCCTTGTTTCTCCAAAACAAATCTCATAGATAGCCCAAGTTACATCACGTTGTTGACAGTGACCAAGGTCTTGGTCATGTCCAGCGATGATCTTGATATAGCCATCTGGTGCCAATCTAGCCATCACTGCAAGATTCTCCCAATCATTGAAACAAACTGCCCAATTCTTTTGCTCAATAAATTCCTTGGCAGGAACAAGGAGCTGAGCTTCCTGGAGAATCACGACATGTGCGCGTAAAAAGAAGAGCACGTTGAAGAAAAGGTTGTTTTCAAATTGCTCATATTGAAGTGACATGGCGCTCTGCTTTCGTGGCTTCATTGCACGATCAAGTCCTTGGAGAAACTTTGGTGTGGTGTATTTCTGACCACGAACCATGTTGCCATAGTTCCAGGATAAAAATGTCAAGGACTCTGAGCTGGCCAATAAATTAGTTCCATATTGTTCTTCTATTCTTCCTTTGAGGAACCTTTGGCACAGCTCTTCATAGAAGGCGACATAGTCCCAACTGGGTCCCTTGGGACCATATAATTCCAGTTCTCCTCTAAACTGTTCCTTTGTGACCTCCAAATCTTCTCGAGCTTGTTCTGCCCTTTCAAGGGCCCTTGGATCGACCTGATACTTGTCATCCAAATAAACGATGCGATCATCATTGATGAAAAATCTCTTCAGGTCATGCTCGCGGCTGTCCTCATAACAATCAGGTGGAGGTACTAGACAGACCTTTCGAATGGATCGAACAAAGTCGTTCTCGTTGATCCTTGACTGATAGTGAGGATGGGAAAGCTCACCTTCTCTGAAACAAACATGGTTCAACAATCTCGCGTGAGTTTCCCTGAAGCATTGTTGATAAAAGCCAATACCTGGATCTCCTGTACGCTCTCCAAGCAACCTCAAAGGTGAGGTATGCAACTCATAGGTATTGTTAGCATCCACAGGATCCTTATCAGCAACTACTTCAGATGAAAAAGATTCTTGGATTTCAGCCTCCAATTTCTTCTCTCCATCATCCTCTCTGACCTCTCTTATCTTCTCCACCGCCTTCTTCTTCTCCTCAAAAGTTGCATCATCCTGAACTTCTTCATGAAAATGAGGATCAGGAATTTTATTCAGGCGGCTTCTCTTAGATTTCGGCAGACTTGGAGTATCATCAAGGTTAGCATCCTTCTCACCTGATGGTAAGTGCGATGCAGCTGAGTCCTCACCTATCTCTCTTGACAGAAAGTGTGGCGCTGACTCATCCTTGGCTTCCTCCTGGTCCACTTCCATCTTTAGTTCCTCTGAAGGAAAAGCACCTGCATTCTCATCAAAAACTTCTTCATCTTTCTCGAGTTCCATTGCAGGATCATCTTCAGGGACTTCCTCTTCCATATCTTCACCTTCCACAAGCACCATACTACCAGTATAGATTCCACCAGTGATAGTGGAGACTCTTGTGTATGGAGGAACTTCTTCACCTGCCTCAAAAGCTTGTTCTGCAACATCCTTGGTGAGCAAGTCTTCTATAAAATCTTCTTCCTTGGTTCTTGGAAGAGAATCTGAGGTCTCATAAAAAATCTGTCCTTTCTGAACTGAAAAACTCAGTTGCCTTCTCATTGTCCTTTTTATCCTTGTAAAGATGAGTAATCTTCACTGCTTCTCCCCGCAACACCTGATCACCTTCTCTATACTTGTTGACAATGGAGCGCCATACTGGCACGTTGTCATCATCAAAATCAAGCTCCATATCATCTGCCATCAAGTTTGAGATGTTTTGAGCTGCCTGTTCTTCTTCTTCCTCACGTTCTCTGGCACGCTCCTCATCCTTCTGGATCTTGTAGACACCCTTCAGGATGTTTTGTAGTGCCTTTAAGTTCAGCTTCGATGATGGCTCAAACGTCCCTGAACTTACAGGCTCAACTACAACACGAGAGCAAGAAATCGCCTCCAAAAACTTGGAATTGTATTGGCGTTCAAACTCTTCCTTCTTGATCATCTCATACAAGGGATCAGAAACTGCAACACGCGCTTGAACATATTCACGAAGTTGATAGCATGCATGTTGCACAAATCTGCTGTTGGAGTTGTGAAGAAAACTCTCTAAATGATTCCTGTCACGGTCAATCAAATACCACACAACTCTTGCAGAAAAACGGAATTTCTTGAAGTTCATAGCAAAATGTGTATGATACTTCTCTGGATCCTCTTCTGCATATAAGGCATCCTCTGAAGTCTTGTAAACAGGGAGATTTGTGATTGGATCCAAAATCATAAACTCTTCCCACAAGATCGAATGGTTAAGAACCCACCTGGGAAGCACCTTGATGAAAAAGTCACAAACAAGTTCAGACAAAAGGTGCATGACACGACCAATCTCTTCCTCCTGCTTGAAGCGATAGTGCAATTTGGCAAA